ACTTAGTCTTTCTTAATCTAGCGCAGTTTAGCACCAAACGAAATGTTATTATTACTGATGGCCTCCAAATTTATTTACCTTTCCGTATGTACCGTAAGATTTGATAAAGAGAAACCAATCGTTGAGATATTGTCAAAAGTCTAACACTGCTTCTTGACGCCAAACTCGGCCTACGGATTCTAAGGCCTAACGCATTGAAACGCCTATGAATTCACTTCGGTCTATCGGATGAAGATAAATATTGATTCGGTCGGAGCGCTTCTCATGTTTTTGGGAATAATGAGTGCAAACATTCATATCACGCGTTCTCATTTACTTCGTTCAGAAGCTTATTAACTAAAGTATCGTACCAAACGCATAATTGACGTGTTAACTCTGAAATCATGGATTTATTTGAAGTTTTCTGCTCGATAGGCCCAAAATGGGCGATTAGGCCGTAGTAGTTCTCTACCCTATGTAAACATATTTTTTTGTCATTTTAACGATTCGTTTTTGAGATATATGGCATAGCGATGTTCCCGCATATGCAAATACGCTTACATGTTTATCTATCGAAATCAGCATCCTTGCGGCAAATATGAGAATGAGAGAGAAAGAGAGAGAGAGAGGGAGAAAACGAAACAATTTTTACAGTAGTCTCCTTCTAAATATATATTTGCGAACTTGTTAGAAAGTTAGGAAAGAATTCCAAGTTACGGTGGTAAATTTTGGAAAATGTTGTTGAAATAGCCCGGGTTTCTATCGCGTTAGGGAGAATATCTTGTTAAAGAGAATGAGACTTGACTGATTTCAACGTAATATATTTATTGATTCATAAAATGAACTGCTCGTGATCAAGGTTGTTAATCGATAACGATCGATAACGTCTCCAGTGGTATTAAACTACGACAGTTCCATTGTTATACAGTGATCATATCTTGATCCTCACTCGATGAATTATCCATCGGAAGATATGAATTCACCAATTAGGAGCCATGATACACCCTCCCCTTGGCTAGTTTTTGCACCTTGCTGTTGGTGGGCGGGCCTAATTTCATGCTAGTGGAGTTTTGGAGACGGTGGGTTTATATTAGTTTTATTTTTCTACTAAGTCATCTATGCTTCTTTCTATTGTTTGGATCAAGTACAACTAATACTAATCTACCTTAATGTATGTTTTACTCCCTTTTAACCCATTATATTTATGAATGGCGAATCATATGACGTGAGACACGTACAAGCTGGAACTCAAAGAATTACTTCGAACAGGATGTCAAACAAATTCAGGACCAATTCAAATGAGACCAGAAACCAACAAGGCATCGGGGAGTTATATATTCTGGGAGAGGTATTTGATAAATAATCAAAAAGTGATAAGTTAAAATCAGAGCCAAGGATCATGAGAGGTAATTGTCAATAATTCATTAATTAGTAGAAATCTCGATAACTTTTTCAAGGGAGCGTATCGGCTTTTGTAGGCGGTGCGTTTGGTCGTCGATTTGGCTTAACTGGTGGCTCGCCCACGCAGGCTGGCACTATCATCAGATAGAGGAAATTTTCCTCTACCTGCTGGTGGTGTTGATAAGCGTGTGCGAGCTGCCGGTTGCGCCGGATCGACGATCGGATGCATTGTTTGCAGGAGCTGGTGCTTCCCTTTGAGAAAGTAATCGAGAAATAACCATATTATCCTGTAATTGATATTACTATTTTTATATATCAATGAAATTAGTCATGACAGAGTAACAGATGGGGAAGGACAATAGACACAAGTTGACACAATAAACAAGACAAGTGGGGGTTAATACACAAGACAAAATGACAAAATAAGTGACGACAGAAGACAAGAATGGGACGAAAATCAACCTTTTAAAAAAAAACAAGAATGCGCAATTATATTATCAAAACTATTTGGATCAGCACAAAAACAACAGTGACCAAACGGGCACCATAGCCTAGGAACGTCTGTGTGTTGATTATAAATAGAGGCTCATAGAAGCAAAATTTATCAATAAAAGGGGTCCAGTGTAGAGTTTTAGCAAGTTGCTGCCACTGTGATTACCAAAAAAAAAAAAAAAAACCAATTGGGAGCCATGATACAGTCAATTGCTTGTCGTCGGGAAAGCCGAGGGCATTCAAAATATTATCCACAATGTCCTTAAATTTAATATTTCCTCGCATGGACGGGAGACTTTTCTTTGAATTGCGAGTAGACGTGGCGTTTATTTTTGGTAACCTCTTGCGGTTACCTTTATTAGGTAGCGGCGGGGTGGAATAGCTGCAGCAAGGATCAGAAGGAGCAGCAATTACCGATTTGTTCGGATTTTTCAATGAGTCCCCTAGGAGCTAGTCGGCTTCCTTTTACCGGGGGCGTGTACCTCCGGAGACTCACTCTCATCTGCTATGTCAGAGTCTAGTTCATCGGAAGACAAAATCTCAAAAGTGTTTTCATTTTGTGCGGCTGATGCCAACAGAGCAGAGGTTCCATTTTGCAACTTGACCATTTCTGCATACGTCATACGCTTTTTGTACGCGGGGCAGCCTGCAAAACATGAAGAGGTTCTTTGCCACAGTAAGCACATTTAGTTGCTTCCTGTTGGCAAGCACCTTCCATGTAGTCTTGGCTGCATTTGCCACAACGGGGCTTGTTGTCACAAAAAGCAGCTGTGTCTCCCAACTTTTTTGCAGTTGGTACACTTATATACCCTTGGTACAAAAAGTCGCACCGGGAAAAAACATTTTCAATTTCTAAAAACTTTGGGATAACCGATCCAGCGAAAGACACATGTAGTGAGCCTGAAGGGCAATAAGTATTTTCACCGTCTACCGTGGTCGCTGAATACAATATCCTGCAACCCAGAACGTCCATGGTAGATGTAGCAGCATTTTGAAGGTGCCCCATAACTTGCATGACGTCATCACACGTCAGGCTCACTGCAGAGACCACGCAGTCTATCTCCACATCTCGAGATGGGATGTAAACGTAGTACTCTTCATTATAACCCTCGTCGTCAGCAATATGATTTGCGATTTTATATGTACGTGTATGTTCCGATTGATCTGATGAAATTCGGTCCCCGGGAAACGACGCGTCAATGTTCTTGACGGCTTGCTATACCTCGCCCCCATCAGCAAAAAATCTAGGATTTTATCGTTATATAGCATAATTTTCCAAGTAGGATGGATTTTCATAGCTTATCTAGAAGCACCGTCTAAAAGGTACCGTCTGATAATTTCAGTGCTTGGTACAGAAATCTGTATGTGTAGGGAAATCCTTTTTTCCCACCACAAAAACACCCCGTTTTCTTATGCAAAACAATAGATGTGCGTTCACTAAACGCCCGAAATCTTAAAAAAAGCAATATTTAGTATTTTTTAATTCAATCAACAGATAAAAGATACCGAGACTTAAATGAAGGGATTTCAAGCTAAAATTTTCTGATTGCGTGATATTCACGATCAATACCGAAATTTCGCTCTTCTTGGCTATTACGTCCTAACTTGCTACTTCAGTGTTCACTCGGCTGTCGACAAAAGCAGGCCACTCTCGATGTGTGCTACGCGATCGTCTGTTTTCTCGGCAGCAACCATTGTGTGGTCCTCCTCATTGTTCTTCATAAGCAGTTCTTTCGGTCGATGCGTCGTCGACTTTGGAAAGCAACCGTTTCGTGATGAGTGTGTGAGTGCTGACCACGTTTTGTGTCCATTGCTGCAATGGACGCACTCTGACCCTCGTTGGCGTACAACAATTTGCCATACAATGAAACCACTGGAAGCGGCTCCAGTTCTGATGGAGGAGGCTTTTTGGATAGCGGAAGATAAAGTATTTATTGTGTTGTACCTTTTGACTATAGTTTTAAGATGTATTGTATAGTGACCAAGAATCCTCGGCTCTGTAAAGTTAATTAGGTTGAGCCTTATCAAATAAATTAATAAACAAAAAATAAACTTGCTACTTATTTTAGATTTGATTAAATCAGGAATCAAACAGCAGCATCAAATGCAACGCCTTTACTGACAAGCCTTCTGCAATTACACCCTGTACTATCCGAATATGTACGGGAAACAAAACATGATCATCAACCTCATCCCGTGTTATAGTATAGGAGTTGGTTCAAAATCAGCTCCAAGTTCCGCTCCTTTGCCGTTTGTTGCAGCAACAAAACATATTGATGAGCTTATTTTTTGTTTACAATGTGTTCGTAGTATAATCAAGACCATATAGGCTACTCACTCCCTTTGACATACGTCGGATTAGTTGCACTGATAAAACATTCAGTACATACAAGTCATACGACAGCGCGGGCACATTTCGACTGAATTTTGAAACCTTGCCTATACTCGACTTTGACGCAGTATTTATATAATGTTAATTGTGAAAAGCACATACACATTATCAGCAACTGTTTTTATTGGAGGATTTTTTACCAGTTCTGTTCAACGTATAAAAAAATGCAGGCCGGAGAGAAAACAAGAAAATAAATTTAATGAATTTAAAAAGCAGCTGTCGTTGAGCAACAGCAGTTGTCTGGTGGCGCGCGCTCTCTTTATCGCCTCATCATACTTTCACGAAGAACGACGCAATATGAGGCTTTACCTTACACTCTTCAATTTTAACCAGTACTCAGACTGGCACACAACGCGTACTAATGCCCGGTTCCTATTGATAAGTGGCATCCAAAGTGTGCCTCATTGTGCTTCTTCATCTCCATAGTCAGCATTTGATGCGGTACAAATAAAAAACATGCACCCACCCACCCACACACACACACACACACACACACACACACACACACACACACACACACACACACACACACATGGGTTGTACAGTGGTCACAAAACAAGCACCAGTATAAATGTGGTCTTGAAGTTGCCAGGGTCTCGTCTCGACCCAATTTGTAAATGTTATTACACACATTCTCAATGCTAATAAATAACTCCACCATGAATACACGTACTCCATATGTAGTTTAAAATAACCTTTAAAACATTAGCTAATCAAGCTATTTTCCATTATTTTTGTATTTCAGCCCGCTGCACTCCTGGATGTGATGAACAACACGGTCACTGTAACAAGCCCAACGAATGCATGTATGTATTTGAATTATTATGATTACAATTTGTTTTATATGTTGTGTATAAAATCCAAAAAATTTAAGGAAAAATATGAAAACATATTGCGCCCTCTCTCTACAAATTATTAAAACCATAAAAAAAACCAAATACAATCAACGTTTGTCAATACAAGGTATTTTTTTTTAAATATCGTTAGGTTTTTTTATAACCTTTTATTTATTTTGATATTTTGATCTTTGAAATCGGGCCAAAGTGGTTCAAAAGTTATAAATTTTTGAAAAAAAAAATATATTTTTGAACCACTATATCGTTTTGTTATGGAATGGCTGTATATGAGCGATTTTTTTATCAACCTTTAACGATTAAGTCGAAACTTTACACAGTTGTTTGTTATTACCCAACATGTCTTTTTACGCATTTTGTACATTTGTTTTGTACGAAACTAACTCTTGAAAAGGGTTTATGTAAAAATGATACGCATCAATTCAAAAATACATATCTCGAGAATGGTTTATTTGATCAAAATGGTGTCTTGGCCGAAGTTGTGGGTAAGTATAGTACCTTTCTAGAAAAAAATATGCGCTCTTTATCACCTTCGGAGTGTTGGAACATCCTCCAAAGGCGCGACCCTTTGTCAGTCAAAATTGGATTCCTTAGCAACAAAATTAAACAAAGACCCGATAATGAACATCCATCAGAACCCTAGTCTTAACCACTTCAAACTAGGGAACAAAGAATAGAAGATTAGGAATCACATAGATGAAGACTAACTTACTTATATTTCCTTGTTTCAAGATCATTCTCGGTGGACAAAGCCGAGTCTTGTCACTATCACCAAGGCATAAAACGTAACAAGGACTAAGATATGTTCCTTTGATTACTGAAAAATCCTGTTCCCTAGTTTGAAGTAGTCAGGACTAGGAATCGGTGGTAGATCTTACATCCCGTAACGTACCACAAAAAGGTGATCTACGGGGTTATACCCTTTCGGTTATTTGCCCAGTTATAAAGTTCTTTAGCATTTTTATTTGGATGTGCTCGTTCTCTGGCTAAACTTACTCGTGTTACGTTTATACGTTTTATTGTACCTCTAATAGCGTCACACGATCTTTTCCATAAGACGTCGCACAGAAATGCCATTCCACTTTAATTTCATACTTAGACTAGAGACATTCTTAAGCTTTATATATTGTGATACAGCTTCATCGGACATAACATAAATTCTCTTTACTATTTTCTCTGATCTGTAAAAAAGTTATCATTTTGGAAATAAACAACATAACAGCTACTGCATCATGCGTCAACTCTTCTGAGATAAAACAGAAATGAAGTACACTGGAGTCTCTTTTTACGCGTTTTTTTCATACGTTTTTTTTATCGCAAATTTCGGAATTTACGTGGTTTTTTTAATGCGGTTTTCAAAATTTACGCGGATTTAGGAATTTACACGGTTACGTTATTTGTTAAATACACTGCGGTTTTTTACACGGTTTTTTTTACGCGGATTTCAGAGTTCACGTGGTTTTTTTTACGCGGATTTCGAAATTCACGCGGTATTTTTATACGCGGCATGTATCCCCCGCGTAAAAAGCGACTCCAATGTAGTTGAGAGTTTTCTTCATAGTATATAATGAATAGATGGATGTTGTTCATTCCAATGATGAGATTGTATTTCATCCTGCAGTACAAATGAGTAATTTTCAGAAAAATCACAAATCACTAAACGTTTATCTACTTGCAAATTATTTTTCGTTGTTTTTAAAAATTGGGATTGTTCTGTTTTAATGAAATCGTGATACTGCTTTACTAATTTTTCACCAAAATATGAAACAAAATCTTCAGGCTCTTCTACAATAGTTTGAATATCACATCTATCAGGTTAGTAGTTAGTGGACAGTTAATCAATCATTTTTTCTTCTAATTGCTGTGACAAAAAATCCTCAATTTACAAAATGTCTGGACAATCCTCACATCATCTAAGATAACAATATGCTGATTTTGTTCACATAATTATTAAACTATCAGTCAAGGACTTTAAGTCATACAAAATGCTGTACTTTTTTAAACTATGTATCATAAGATTTAAAAAATCAACCCTCTCCTTGACTAGTTTTTAACCTGGATGTTTGTGGGCGGGCCTAATCTTATGCTTCATAGTGGAGCGTTGAAGACGGTTGGTTTAGGTCCGACATCGTTGGCTCATTCCGTGGCAGAATAGCGTCATGAGCATGCCATGAGGATTACTGAGCTTCCCCTCTCTGATGAACCACTGCATGAGAAAACCAAAGATCTAGTCTAGCAGTGATAGTATCACACTTGTTACTCCTTTGTTTGAGAGCCGCGTCCCTGTACGCTTACGTATAGGCACTGACGTTGGGTGCAATACTGGCGGGTTTTTCCGCAAATCACTCTTATTTTATTTATTTTTACGCAGATAGATTTATTTGGGTTTGCACGGGAATTATACTATTGATATATTTCAGAAAGTGCCCAACAGTGCTCCTTCTATTTGCGTGACAAGCTTTCATTGTTGTTTTCATTGAAGTATTACTCAGGGAACAATGCTAAACACTATTTTTGTACATGGTATTGTAACTAATCTTATACTAGCTTCATTTTGATTTGATATAAATTTTTGAACTATGGCTCGGGATTTCCACTGTGGCGTGTTTCTATTGTGACATACCCACACGTATTTTTGTGGTGCGACATAGTAGATTGGGTGGTGATTGGGTAGATTAGAGATTTCATAATCATAATCATCAAACGAACTTAAATAAGAAAATTTAGACAGCCTAATAACATTAAGTAGATTAACAAAAGAGTTAGGATGCGGGGGTCTGCTAGCGAGGGAACTAGCTTTTAAAGCAACTGGCACCTAACCTTTTTTATATATTGTCTGTTTATTTTGATGGTTGCTTTAAATTATCAATTTGGTATATATGTGAAAGGATGAATCAGTGGGAGATGGATTTTCGGTTTCTTTACATTTTGCAGCACAAATCTAGTACTGTGTGTCATTTCCTCAAAACCCCCCTAAATTTACCTCTTCAATCATTTCGTTTTCCCATGGCGTTCAAGTGGTCCACATTGACTATTCAGCCATTACCCTTCCTTTATCCTCGGCTTTGGATTGATTTGCGCTCCCATTGCCCCAGCAAACTCTGCAAAATGAAAATGAAAGCCAAAATTATTTGAAACGCGTTAAATTTTAGTTTACAAGCATGGGTTATGATTATGTAGGTAGATTAGAGATTTCAGTTATTTATTAAATAAGACATCATCAAATGAACTTCAATAAAAAAAATTCAGAAAGTCAATTAACATAAGAGATAAGACGCGGGGGGTCCGCTTAGGGAGGCAACTAGCCTTTGAAGTTGTATAATAAATCTTCCTATTTAGTATATTTGTAAATTACAGGCAATGTCAATAGCGAAAGTCATATCTTCAGTCAGGCGCTTGCGAATAAGTGAAGTTTTAGGAAAGATGTTTTAAATATGTTGATAGGTTTGTAATAAGAATTAGGATTGTTGTGCTTTAGTTTTCCGTAGGGTCTGATGTGTCAGCTAAGCCCTTTGAGCAATTTTTCAAAAATCAAATTGATTGAATGGTTTATTGAAAGACACCTTCATTGAAACATTGCGTTGCGTTAGAAAACAGTATTCTTCTCTAACGAAAATTGACAAGTCAATCATCTAACATAGTAGTAGTAGCAGTGTCGCATAATATAATCACAATTGCTGCAAATAGTGCTGGATGGACCGGCAGGGCTGAATACGGATCAAAACCAACATAATTCTAAGCAGTAAAATGATCCAGGAACTAACACTCATTCATTGCACTTTTAGTTATATATTAGTTTTATTTTCCTACTAATTTATCTATGCTTCTTTCTATTGTTTGGATCTAGTACAACTAATACTAATCTACTTTCATGTATGCTTTACTCCCTTTTAACCCATTATCTTTATGAAAAAGACACGTACAAGCTGAAACTTAAAGAAATAACGTGATTTCAATGGACTAAGGAGAAGGAATAGAATTACTTCGAACAGGATATCAAACAAATTCAGGACCATTCCATTAGAGACCAGAAATCAGCAACCCAAGTAACATTGCAGGTTTTATCGAGTTTTTACAGCATTCTACAAGTCCAAATCATGATCTACTGAACCCTCATAAAACCAAAATTGTTACTTGGGAAGGCATCTGTGAGTTATATACTCGGAGAGGTATTTGATAAATAATCAAAAAGTGGTAAGTTAACATCATAGTGGAGCCAAGGATCATGGGAAGTAATTGTCAATAATTCATTAATTAGGGTAAACGCTCCTATAGTTGCGGTACGTTAGAAGCGTTAGGTTCCTATAGTTGTGTATTGCGTCTCCATACACAACTATAGGAACCTAACGCTTCTAACGTACCGCAACTATAGGAGCGTTTCCCCTAGTAGAAATTACCATATTATCATATAATTGATATTACTATTTTTAAATATCAATGAAATTAGTCATGACAGAGTAACAGAACGAGTTTAAAAACAGATGGGGAAGGACAATAGACACAAGTTGACACAATACACAATACAAGTTGGAGTTAAGACAAGACTGGGACAATAATCAACCGTTAAAAAAAAAACAAGTGTTTCGCCCAGGATGTTGCCCTACGTTATGACTTTCAAATTGGAGATGGATGGAAAAGGAGCACAACAAAGAAACACTGTTGGACACTTAATTGACTTTTTATTGCCACCGAGAGGCATAATTCCTGCTCGGAGCATTACCGTATTACTTTATAACATACAAATCGTATTCTCTTAAATACTATAGCACCAGCAATTAAATTCCAAATCAAATAGATACAAAAACAATTGACTATATATAAACGTAAACAATAACAATACACAACGAAGTATACACACAACTGACACATATTGTTGCTGCTTACAATTTTAAATCACGTAGAGCCCTAAGCCGATGGTGTGCTTCAACAACAAGAATGCGCAATTATATTAT